GTGGAATTCTTTGGTTTTATTATAGTCTCTTGTAACGTGTTAAAGAAAAGGCTTTCTGCATCTTTTGATAGCCTGGTAAATGGCGGTTAATTTGCTCTCATCATGTACACTGCCATTTTCAGAGCAAATTTTCTCCTTCCTAGCTTATAAAGGATATCAGTTTTTGTGTAAGGCCTGAGGACTAAACTTGTCCCAGTTCTTAAAGGTGCATTCTCTAGGGGTATGTGTGGAAGTATTAAACCTCGGTTTCACATCTTAAAGTGAGCAGAGGAGATCACGGAAGAGGCCTTGAACTTCCTCTTTCTTCTCCCATGTTGTAAGTGTGCTTGAAGACAGCACCATCCTATCTCAACCTGGGTTTTTAGAATTAATGGTTACCTTAACGCGTAACCTGCCCCTCCACTGCCTTACCCACTTCTGATGAAGCGAGGCATGCACCCAGGAAGCTTCTCTATTACACTCCTTCCTCTGTGTGACTTCTGCTTCCCTCTTGACAGGAGCTAAAAACAGTTTGCTTTGGCTTACTGCTAAATTCCTTGAGGGCAAAAGAATCAGCAAGTGGAGATGGCAGAATCAAAAGACTTCCTGAGCCTCTTGCATGGCTTCTAGGATTTATAAAAAATGCCAACCCAGTAAAGATGGTCATTTGAAATGGAAAACTCTCATAAGACCCCAAAAGTAGAACTACACCTTAGCTCTATCTGCCCAAAGCTGGTGGGGGAAGTGACCTGAGATAAAAGCTCATATTTCTTTCATAGTGGCTTCTGGCTATTGCCACCAAGTGAATTCTGATTCTCAGCAATGTGATAGGACAAGGCAGATCTGCAAATTCTCACGCGGGCAGAAAGCCTCATCTTTCTCCCAGAGTGGATGGTGGTCCTGGAATGATGGTCATTGGCAGCCCAACTCTTAACTCACTAAGTCACCAGGGTTCCTTGCCAATTCTCAAAGAGACAGGTACCCAAACAGGTAGATCCCTGAAGCATTCTGGGTATAATAGCTTGTTACTTACAGAAAGAGGACAGTCTTAAAATTCCTGCAATATTCTCACATAAAGAACTTAGAGAAACATCTGATCTATTTAATCGCTAATTGCTATTTTTTATACATTTTGGATGAACTATAATTCACGAACCCCATCACCTTTCAGAGTTCTAGAAATCTTGATTTCGTCTTGTGGGATCCAAGTTTAGGATATCAGTCTTTTAGTATGTTCATTTTTTGGTAGGAAAAATTTTGTTAATTTATAGAGGTCTAGATAAAGACATGTACATATGCAAATATATTTATATATGAGGATGGGGAAATAGATCTATGTGCCTATATTTATTGGTTGAGTATTAAGGTAGCAGAAGGACATTGGGCCTCCACTCAAGTACTCCCTCAATGCAAGAATACTTTCTTCTATTAAATTGGCATTCTATGATGCTCAC